CATTCCTGTTAATTCCCGTGTGGAGAGCAAACTCGTAACTACAGATCAATTGCTTGAAGTGTCTCTTTTACATTCTTGCTGACTGAATAATTTTATTGCTGTAATACCAGAGTCTGCGTGAAAAAATCCTCTCAAGAACGCTTTGCACTGAAAATTCTTCTTGATCGTCCAAAAGCTAGAAATGAGGTATAGTTCCTGTTTATACTGTCTACCTTCTGACACACCGTCAAAGTCTCGCCCTTTTGGTGAATTGTTGCAATGGGTTTAAAAAAAAAACAAAACAAAAAACAACAACAAAAAAAATCCAACCAACCAAACAAAAAAAAACCAAAACAGAGCAAACCAACACCCACGTGTTCTGCAGATCTTGCCATGCAAGATTCCTTGCATTTGATCCTCTAGCCTAGCTATGCTCAGTTCCTGTTGGATGAGGTGGTGGGTGAACCAGAGAAGGGCTTTCTAACTCCGAGTTAGCTGTATATGTACAAGTGTAACTTATAGAGCTGCATTTTAACGCTATTGTTCTCCCTATGTCCCACATAATGTAACATGAATAGTTTAGAACTGATTTTGTTTCTATACATCTCGCTCTTGGATGTCGCTACTCTTAAGAATTGCCAAGAATGCTTCAGGTTGCACTCTAAATGGTATGAGTTTATCTGTGTGTGAGAAACTAAATAAGCTCACTGATACTGTTCTTGACTTGCTGTGGCTGGCAAGAGCGTGCCAAGGTACCAAACTGTCAGTGGGTTGAAGATGATGGGCTCAAGTTGTCGTGAAAGCGGAAGCAGCGTTAATCGTCCTTAAGGTTTAGGCAACTTCCATTTCTTGTTACTGAGCAAGTTCTCATTTAAAAATGCCCTGGGAAAAAGAATCTGTTTACAAAGAGCATCAAGCCTTGACTTGATGTAGCGGTCCAGGTAGCTTTAAACTGGGGAAAATTCCTTTGGTTCCTGCTTCAGAAAGTTGGAACAGGAGATGAGGTTTCACGTGTTTTGAGTGCTAGAGCTTGAGGCCATAAAAGGAGCTGGATTATGGAATTTCAAGTTTTATTCATGAACTTTTGGTTTCAGTCGTATCTCTACTGCTACTTTAAAGCTAGTTGTAACTTTAAATTTCTTTTAAAAACCCAGAGAAATCAAAGATTGGGCTTTTTCTGAAACTCTACTGGGTTTGATTCTATGGTCTGTAACAAATTGGTTGGCAGCGTAGGATCTTCTTGTCCTGCATGGTCCAAGTAGTGTAATGGCTGTTGGTCACCCATATAAATGCTTGTAGGCACTTTTTATTTTCGGAATAATTTGGGTGTGAGTGGCGCTGAGCACAGCTGGCAGCGCACGGGCTCGCGTGGTTTTCCATAGTCTTAGGGGCAGAGGGAGGAGCAGAATTGGTCAAGGATGCGTCACCATGTACAGTAACGTTTCTTCCCTTCTCTTCAAGGTACGTCTGCACATGATGTGTGCAACACATCCAAATATTGTTCAAATTATTGAAGTTTATGCTAACAGTGTGCAGTTCCCACATGAATCCAGCCCAAGGTAAGATTACATAGGGTGATTCATTCCCACAGCTTGCTTTCCATGTTTAGGCCAAGGTATAGTGGAGTATGCTTTTTTTTTTAATCAGTGTGACCAAAATGAATATTTATAGGGTGTTGTAGATATGATATTTATACTTCAGACCAAGCAATGCTTGCTTTTTGCCCCCGTCAATGCCCAGACCTTTGCATATTTAAATGAATTTGTGTCCTTCACTACTGGTTATGAATACATCTTCATTTCTTAGGTTTTTCATTGATTCAGTCTGATACCTGCATTGTCTGAGAGAGTATATTAGCTTCTGGGTTCTGTCCTGCTTTGATACTGCTTTAGTAGCTTGAATTGAATTGTAACCTGTGAGCTGCCTCCTGCTTTCAAAGCACTGTTAAAGCAGGATTGGAGCTGCAATTTCTCTTGCTACCCAGAAGTGAGATGGTGATGCCTGTGAGCCACTGGGAAACTCAGAGTGCCAGTCTTCATTTAAAAAAAAAAAGAAGAGAGAATTGTTTCTAAAAATACTACGTTCTGCCCTGTAAACTCTCAATACATTGTCCTGCTTAAAATGAACACAGCAAAACATGAAGTGTACTTATTAATTTTCATACATTAATATCACTTGGGATAAAAACATTGTCTTCTAATTGGATATTAGTTGGAGGAAAAAAAATCAGAGCTGGGAGAATTGAAGAGCTGAGACCTGTCTTAGTCTCTGATGTATCTGATTTTGCTGTGTGGCGATAAGAACTAGAAGTTAGTTTCCTGAGGATCTGGCAGTCCTGATCTCCACACTTCCTATCCGTCGTCCTTCATAATTATGTCAATAAAACTGGAAATCAAAATAATGAGGTACAGTAGAGTATGCAGACTCAAAAGCATTAAAGATAATTCCTCAACCTTCTGCTTCGACGTTTCCATGAGCACCTTTAGCGCCTAGGCAGATCGGCATGTCTGCAAGGATGGGTGCAGACAGTTGTCCGCTGTGCTCTAAGCCAGCTCCAGCCTGGAAGTTGTTTGGCCTGTTTAATGCAAGACTCTACCTGCTGCATTGTTCTTTGAGGGCAGAGTTATACATTAGCGTGTCTAAATGGCTTCCAGGTCCAAACTGGCTTGCTGGTGGAAAACGCGGGTGGAGCTTGCATGTATCTGTCTGAATGCATCCATGTAGATGTGTCCGTGGCGTTTGTTCCAGCTGGATGTGGGAGCCCAACATGAAGAGCAAACTGTAGATTCCTGGCTGCCAATCAGTGAGTCAGATTGTGCTGGGAGCCAGAAACTCCTGCAGCTTATACGCTTAAAGGCAAAATTACGGAACCAGAATAGCTGTAACCACTGTAGGAGAAGCAAGTGTATGTCTCTCTCTCGGCCTGCATCAGTAGATATGAAGTATGCATTATTAGCTTAGCAATTCTGTTATTTTTTGATTATTTTTAATATAACAAAATGAAATGCTTTTGAACAGGGCTCGGCTCCTAATTGTAATGGAGATGATGGAAGGGGGAGAGCTATTTCACAGAATCAGCCAGCACCGGCACTTTACTGAGAAGCAAGCAAGCCAAGTAACAAAGCAGGCAAGTTAACACCCATGTATAAGCAAATCCATGAATGATAATGGCTAAAGTATTTAACAATTTCTTGGGGTGGGGGGGTGGGAAAAAAGGAAGCTAAAATAATCCTCAGTTCTGATCCGATGATCATTGCCTGCTTTGTTATAACCTGACAATGCCAAAGTTTTAATAGAAGCAAAAAATTTGAAGGTGTGGGCTAGTTCTTCTGGGTTGGGAACCTGGTGTCTCTGCTGTCCTTAGCAATGGTTTTCCTAACCTGGTCTACAGAACACTTCACCTCTTTTCTTGCACAGTCTTCCTGCTGTATCCCTCGCTGCTGTTCTAAAAGTGTTACCTCCGACAGTCCACAGGCGCTCGCCAGACCCCGCGTGGCTCCTGAGCTCCAGTTTGAGAGTTGCTCTTGGCCATGACACAGACTTGGCGTTTCTCTCACCTCTCGGGCAGGGCAGCAGACAATACTGTACATGTGTCCTGGGCCAGTGGTTTTCAAGCTGGGTTCTGTATTTGGTTTTATGGAAGTCCTGCCTATCATGGAAGATAACAAGAGGAATGTACCACTGTAGCACATGTGTTCTGTGCTGTTTGTTCGGATGTCACTTTTCCCCTCTCCATTTCTCTACGCAACTCACTCTTAAATACTGTGTTTTATAGCCTCCACAGTATTTATTACTAGAGGTTTTGGTGTCCATCAGGCCCTTGGTTGCTTAGCAGTGCCTGTAGCTTATACCCTGCTAGAGTAGGCAGGATGATGAAGCAGAAGGGCCTCCATGAGATTCAGTGCAGGGATCCCCAGTGTCAATTCCTCTCAGTTCTGGGGTGAACTTGTCCCCTTTCACTTCAGGAGTGACTTGTGGTGCCCAGTCAGAAAGCTTGGATTAACGGGAGGGTTGCAGGAAAGATGGTATGGCTGTATGTTGTGATAGCCACGGCAGAGGACCGGCAGGTTGCTGTAAGGAACCACAAGGCAGAAGGATCTTGCTGTCAAAATGACTGAGCTCTTCTGCATGGGAATTGGCACCGTGGCATGAAATCCGAGGGCTGGAGTTGCCACCATTTGCTTCTTGCAGAGGTTATATTGGCATTCCCAACAAAAGATACACAAACTGTAGGCGAAAGGCTATACTGGAGATACTAATCAGTCAATGTCCTGCTCCTACACCAGTGATGGCTGCAGTGAATAGAGGAAAGTAAACATGAGACAAGATATTACAGCATTTGTCATAAATTGATGTGACTGTTTATGAATATATCCATATCCTGAGCACTTGCTTCCCCCTAAGCTGGGGAGATAATGTTTGATACGGGGGCAAAAAAGAGGGCCAAATCATTTCATCTTACTTTTCTGTCTTGTGCTTTGACTTGTTTCTGATGAAATGCTAATTGTGCCGTTACCTTTTTGGTTTCATCCAACAAAGAAATTAGGTGGAAGTACAGAATTATTCTTGGTGGCTTGTTTTCATGTCCTTTGGGCCATTTGATGTTGACAATGCAAGGGAGTCGCCAGGATTAACAAGTTGGGAAGATCTTTTAAAACTGTACCAAAAGACAAGATCTCTGAATTGAATTCTGACTGTGTGTGCACTTGGGTTGCTCGTGTCCCAAGTAACTCTTTGCTTTAATGTTTATACAAATGAAGTTTGAAAGCAATGTTAAAGTCTGATTCTTTCATCTAGTGGTTCTTCATCATTGTCTTGAGCTACAGGTCTTAGTTCCTTGTACCCAGTAATAGTTAAAAACTTGTCACAAAGCTACCTCATTTTCTCCGGGAATGTGTTTGTATTTGTTTCTGAGCTAAGTTAACACTGAAGTTCTCTTGTCACAGTAATTTGCAGTCTTCTAAGGACTCAGCGCTTCGCCCAGGGTGCTGTGGTTGGGTAGGATCCTACAGAAGGCAATAGGAATACTTTCAAATAAGGGTCCTGTGGCTTTGCCTTACCTTTGTTTCAGTAATGCTGTTTAAGTATTGATGCTTTGGTTTTTCTTTAAACGAATTGCACTTTCAAATGTACAGTCTGTGGAACTTTTGTGACTGGGTTACAGGTTTCTAAACCACAGCAGTGTAAGAAGCTGTCTTTGAAAGAATCAAGTCATGCATTTCTGTGTAATATCCCATGAAATGAGTAAATCGCAGGCAGTACCGTCAAGAATTAAAGACAACTGCCTGAATGTTGTCTCTTAAGTCAGTAATGAGTGCAATAAAATATTCACTGAAATATTGAAGCAAGAGCTTGCTGTTGACTGTTAAAACAGAATGTCATTGCCGGAGAGCGTGCAAGCAAGCGTAGTGACCTTGTAGGCCTAGCGCAGCGTATAAAAGGACACTGTCATGATCTGTTTCACTTCTGGGGGGCTAATAATGCCCAGTTTGTCAAACTAAGGTGGTTGGGAAGCCTAATACAACTTAGCTTTTATTTTCTGTTTGCTTTGAGTGAAATGCAAACTGAATAGCTTGCTGGGTTTCGTCTCCCAGTCGTCCCTTTACTGCACTGCTGCGCAGTATGGCCAGGCTTGTCTTAACTCAGAATTGTACCCACATGGAGTGGAAACGTTTGGGGTCTAAGCTATGTTGGCAATGTCCTTTTTAAAGCTCAAATAACTGTCCAAGCTAAAGGAGGATTTCTGTAATTGTAGTTGATTTATTGTGCCCTTTTTCAGATAGCTTTGGCTTTGCAGCATTGCCACTCACTAAACATTGCACATAGAGACCTCAAGCCTGAGAATCTCCTCTTCAAGGATAACTCTCTGGTAAGATGAAGACTTGGTATTCTTTGTTTACTGCTGAATTCTGTAAAGCGGCTCAATGGTGATTTTTCAGAATAGTTGTAAAATGACACGAATGCAATGGTTTGGTGACAAAAATTAATGACCTTTTTTGACTTTGGGCTTTTCCATACTCTCATCTGCTTGGAGTACAGGCTGTCCATGCTGCTGCTGTTAAATATGGGTCAGGTTCTCCACCTCAACGTGGAATCTTGCTTTGCTGAGGAGATGATCTGCTCTGCCACGTTTCCTCCCTAGGTGTCATCAGAATGTTCTTACATGCGTTATAGGTGCTTTGCTGTATCCGAGCACTTGCCTGTTTCTTCTCCTGCTCATAACCATGCTGCGTATGCAGTGACCCCCCTACAATGTGCTTAGTGCTTTCCAAACCTAAGAGGGGTACAGCTTTTGACCCAGAGCACCCAGGAAAACAAAAGTGATTGTTTCAAAGATGAGTTTATGGCTTTTTAGCTGCGTTGTGGAACAGTAAGGGTATAAATACAAGAGAGGAGTACATGTGGCAAAGGTAAGATGAGTACAAGGCGAGAAATATGTATTAGAAGAGCCGATACAATGAGATTTTGTAATGAAGCCTCTTCTCCTTGTTTTAGGACGCACCTGTTAAATTGTGTGACTTTGGATTTGCCAAAGTAGACCAAGGTGACTTGATGACACCACAGTTCACTCCATATTACGTAGCACCTCAGGTAACAAACAATTACAGTTCCAGGCTAAAGGGGAATCGTGATCTTTATTGCCTGTGCCTCCATAAACACGTCATTTTAAAAACCTTTGCTGCCTGATGAAGGGTTCCTGGGCAAAGGACTCTTGAGTAATTGTATAGTAGCCACCTTTCAAGATGGAGTGCCACAGCGATCTATTGATTACAGCAGGAGATCGTGAGGCAAACTTCCCAGACTCTGTTGCACTGACCTGTTGCTGATGCCTCCTGACTCTCCCAGGCCTGACTCCCACTGGTGAGACTACTCCAGGATTTTGACAACTGGCCTTCAACTGCATTAAAGCAGTTGATTTGGAAAAGTCCCTGCTTCATGATCCGTCTTCCAGCTCAGGCTCATTCAAGATTACCTTAAAAAGGACTATGGTGAAACAAAAAGGTTCTGTAAAGGCAATTGCTCAAAAGGAGGGCAGTGCCAGAGGGTTACCCAGTCACCTTGGCTTGGCCCCCTTGTCCGTGTGCATTGAGACATAATCTATAACTGCAGACAGGCTGGCTTTTGTAGTGCTGCTTTCCCCACTCTCTTTTGTGCTTTGTGTTGGAGTCCTAAAGAAAATGAAAAGAAAATTGCAGGTAGATATTTAATTGCAGTACTGGGCATGTCGGCAGCCTTCAATGACTAGGAAGAGAAATTGCAGAGATCAGACCGTGCAGCTGCAGCCCTGAAAATGCCTCCTCAGCTGGAGCCTGCTGTGCTACAGACAGGGGTTATAAAATAAGTGAACTACCAACCCCTTAGAAAGATTTTCCTGAGCATATTTAAACTGAGATTTTTGTAGAAACCCAGAAACACAGATTGGGTCAGCAAGGGACAGATTTGATGTGATTTGTTCATGGGAGAGGCAAAAAGGGACCATCTCTGGAGGGAGGGTTAGCCTCCAAACACACTTTAGGTTTTAGTTCCAAAGCATGGAGGCGTTAGAGGTTTTGAACAAAATCAGTGTGAGCAATTGCGTTAATTCAGGCAAAAATGGAGTTTTCATCCAAAGCAGCAAAATATTTTAGCTGGAATAAGTCCACCGAATGAAAAAACATCAGGCGTCTTTGGCATAGGCATTGCAGTTTGTAGTGCCTGTAGTTGAGATGTGGTTTGCATTATTTTTTTTTTTTTTTCCCTCTCATGGCAACAGGTATTGGAGGCACAAAGACGGCATCAGAAAGAAAAATCTGGTATTATCCCCACCTCTCCAACACCTTACACTTATAACAAGGTAAGCTATGAAACAGCCCACAAGTCAATAACTTTAAAGCGCAGTGTTTTCCCCCAACCGCCTCCCCGATGTCTCTGCTGTAGAAGCAGTCTGTAGACACAGTTTATCACCTAAGGCAATGAACTTTATTGCCCTGAAATTACACACTTATGCCCAGGAGCAATAAAGTTGTTCTGATCTTTGTGACAGGAATACACCTAACTAGCCAAATCTCTAACACTTGAGCAAAAAGCAGGATCTACAGGAAACAGCAGCGAAACGTCGCGTTGCTTGCTGTTTTGTCTACACCTGCATTTTCAGCTGTAAGGAAGTAGTATCTTTGGCGCTGTATTTCTCGAAAGTGTGGTTCCTTTGGCTTTTCTAAAAGGAGCAGCCAGGTATACGGGGCTATTTCTCCCCTTAAATGTATTGCGTTCAGACCAGGTCTCATTCAGCTGAACTGGCAAATTAGAAGATAATGATCTGTGCAGGTAGCTGTCTTTCTTAGTTTAGAAGTGACACACTAAAAGGCACTGCTGGTGCTGTGCTCTTTCTGATAGAGCGAATAATGAAATGCACGCTTGGTCCCAGCCTAATTAATGATCCTCTAATTAAAGGAAAAAATATGCGAACACTGTTAAAGGAGCATTAAATATTAACAAGAACTTGTTAATTTGGAGAGAGTAGAATGATTCTGCTGGAGTGTGACCGCGTGGGAAGCTTTTTCACCTCCGCAAGAGGCTGGTTCAAAGGAAACTTCTGTCATGCTGTCAGCCAGAGTTTCTGGATGTGCAAAGCACTCTTCAGGCTGCCTTGTTCAGGGAGCTGTGGCGGTACCTTGTCTGTACTAGGGATCTTCTGCAAGATGGCCCATAGTGTATTGTGCTGTCTGTAGCAGTAGCCATGGGCGATAACAACCCCTGCTAGAGTCCTGTAAAGTGTTGGCAGAAAGTGGCCTGAAAGGTTGCACTCCTTTTTGGTCATTCCAAAACATTTTCCTCTGTATTATCATCAGTGTCCCCTGTTGGCTTGGCAGTGTTTGAACCACTGAGTGTTTTTCTTTCAATGTCAGTTTTGATTAGTTAGCTGGTTTCTGATTGCAGTGCTAAGTATCTACACTGATTCCAGTTTTAAGGATGGTTGTTCAACCTACCACGTGCTGGAGGGAGTAGTTTGGTATATAGTACTATGTTTTAGTAGCCTTCTGTAGAGAGCTAAAGCAAAGAGGGGCAGAGATAACTCTCACCGAATTAGTCTGCATGGGTTTCCTAATCATGACTCTGCTCTCTTCAGGGTTATGATTATCTGTTTTCCATCCTGGAGAAACAGCTTGATGATCAAAGACTGACACTTCTTATAAAAAGAGTTCTCAGGCAGGTGCCAACAGTGTTTTCAATACAGAGTTTCTTCTGCCCTCTCTCGTGTGAACCCCAGCCACAGGGAAAGTTGTTTTTTTACAAATTTTTCAAGTCTTGCAAGGCTCGAGAACTCCACTTCTGTGGATTGAAGCAGGTTAGCTCTCCAGGAACAGCGCTCTCCAAGGGATGTCCCTCTCTTTTGTTGTAAAAGGGTAGATGCAGTTCCAGAGACACCTAGGAGTGGTTGCTCGCTGTTCATGTTGGTAACAGTCTGACGGCCCTTTTGTTCTTTTAATGAACCAAAGAGCCCTGGCCACGGCACCTGAAGCAAAATATGGGCTGTGTTCTTGAAAACAGATACCAACTGGAGTTAACTCACATACTGGCAAGGTTCAGCTGCCCCGATCTTCTGGGATTTAGAGTGTGATGCAGTGATTTTGTTTTCATGTTTCCTTTAAAGAATTGATCGGTCACTCTGAACTGCTTTCAGCCATGGTGGCACTAACTGGAAAGGCTGCTGAAAGAAGCAGCCTCATCCTTACCTTGCCAAGCGTGACTCACTGCAAAAGCAGCATCTGGCGTACGCCTCGTTCCCCAAAATAGACTGTGATAAACTCCCAGGTACGCTGTCCTTCCACAGCCATTCAGAGCCAGAGTGGAAATGCCTGTGATCCACCCTCATGATCAGCAGCAATATCCCACAGATTTAAATTGGAGAAAAAACCACACGTCTTTGATTCCCTGAGTATTTTTATTAAGCTGTGCATGCATTGGATCAAACATAAGTGTATATGTCATGGCTGGAGGGGGTTGACTCTTGAGAAATAGAATCTGAGAACCATATCCATGAGGAATTTAGACACCTGTTTCCTGCTTACATGCCTAAAGTCCCACTAATTTCAGTAGAAATTATCTCCGGTCAATGGAAAAATGATGAGAATTTAGGTACCTAAATAGAAATTTAGACTTCTAGAGCCATCTGAGATTGGCCTAAACGACTTGCTGAAAAGCATACATATGTGGGGTAATTCCCTGAAGTTTCTTTCATTATCAGCGTCCACACATTTTGTGGAAGTCAAAAGACAAGGGTAGGATTTAATGATCTGTATGTGCAGATCTAGGTGTATTCCCTCCGGAAGGAAACAGTCTCACCTTTGAGGGGCCCTTCCTGGGTTGGTGTCAATCCAGTCAAAAAACAGTTATTGGAGTCAGGGATTCTGTGTTTGCTGAGCTCATCTGTGCAGCTTCATGAACACTGCTGCTGTTCTCCAAATCTGCCCTTGCGTGTCTTTCCACGGTCACCTGGACCTGGCTGGAGCTCAGGCTTCTGCTTACTCTTGGCTATGTGTTCCCATCCATCCTTGTGCTGGCATGAACCTTTGGGAGTCCCCTGGAGGACTGATAGGGCTGGAAACCAAGCCAGGAAAAATAAATTATTAGCTCTCCAAATTCTAGTGTTGGCCCAAAAGAAATAATGGGAATGGATGGCCAGGGTCAGAGCAGGTCCCCAACCTGCACCATGCCATAACCAAGTGATAACAGAGCTGTATCCTTAAGGATATGGTCCTACAGAAGCTTGAACTGAGGTCTGGGCTGTTATGGTACTCTTCCCTTCTTCCCGAGTAGGGTCTGTCTTGCCTGAGTGCACAGAGATCCAGAAGGGGAATAGATCTGGCTTTCAGCTTCTTTGCTGAGCTGGTTTTTTTGGCTGGATCCACCTCCTGGATGAACTTCTGTGTCACACCAGCAGCAGGGGAGGGAGCTGCAGGCTGGGGTGGGAGCGCAGCGTAAGCAGCCGTGAAATACCACGCCTGGCTTTCTGAAGCTGCTTCATCTGTGGCTTTCAGGACGGGTATTTTTCATTACAGACCTCTCTGATTAAGTATCTCTGCTAGCTTGTTTGTTTGATGGTGTTGCTTTTTTTAGTCTCGCATTCTAAAAAATGACTGTATTCTGTTTTATGTTCTGATATTGAGACTAGGATTCAAATATCCCGAGAGATGTAATAAATGCCCAGCTTGCTCACGCCTCTGACGCGCTGGCTGTTTCCATACGATTTACCATTGCATAGCACAGCGTTACAGGATCGCTTTCTGTAAACAAGCTACTTTTTGGTACTGGAAGTAGTTTAGCTTGGCAGCATGGAGTTACCTTGTGCTTACACATTTGCCATATTTATCCGTGAAGGTCCTCAGATGGACCTTTAGGAGGAGGCTGAGCTGCGTTTCTGTTTTCTTAGGGAATCACATAGAACTTTTAACATAGCTACACCACTGCTTGCTGCAAATTGCGCCCCAAAGTGATCATTTCCTTGCTTTCAGAGCTGTGACTTGTGGTCCCTGGGTGTCATTATTTACGTGATGCTGTGTGGATACCCTCCGTTTTACTCCAAACACCATAGTCGGACAATTCCAAAGGACATGCGGAAAAAGATCATGACAGGAAGTTTTGAATTTCCAGAGGAAGAGTGGAGCCAGATCTCAGAAATGGCGAAAGACATTGTGCGAAAGTGAGTCAGTGGAGGAAAATGTTGTATTGCTCTTTGCTTATATTAAGAAATTGGAAAATCACTTCAAAGTGCATTATCACAGAGGGCTCATCTTTCCAAAGGCGGGAGGGAATGGTCTGCAGCACGTACAGCTAAAAAATTTTCTATCCTATTCAGCACAAATGAAGTCTGGTAAATATTTTTCTTTCCCTCTCTTTTTTTTTTTTTTTTTTTTTTTTTTTTTTTTTTCTCCTCCCCAACTGTTGTGTTCAATTTTCAATGTCTCCTGTCCCTGAAGTTGCTAGAGTACGTTGTGCGTTTAGTCCTTAAGGTCTAAGCTCCTGTTAAAATCAGGGGGCGTTTAGGTAGCGTAATAGGATCTGGTAAATCTGTCCCTTAAAACCCTGTGCACATAATATACAGTCTAAAAGGAGTCAAGAGAGAGGCATGGAAAGGGAGGTTAAGATCCATCACAAGGTGTCAGGCTATGAGCTAAGGTTTTGCATCGATATTTTGTTCCAGATGCTAACGGAAACTTCTTCATGCAATGCACATCTCAATTGCAAATGTTTCGAAGACTGTGATCCCATGGTCCTGTTTGAAAGCGAGAATGCGGCACTGATTAGGTCTTGACCTCACTTATGTTTTTAAAATGTGAGAGAGACTTACTGCCTTTGCTTGCATCACCAGAGGAACTGGAAGGATAAAAGCAACATAAATAGGGAAAAAAAAAAAATCAATCTGTTAAACAATTTTGAACTGTCACTGTCTCCTCTGCCATACTGTAAAATCTCCAAGGATTTAGTGTTGTTTGGAAAGGGTGCGGGGACCTGTTTATAGCAGTGCCAGAGAACCCACAACCTTTCGCCAAATAAACTGCAGATTACGTTGCAGTGAAACTTCCGCTTATGCCAAGGTCAACTCTTTATTCTCATTCAGGAGCTCCACAGTCAATAGGTTTCATTGCCTTTTAAAATGGCCGTGAAACTCAGCTCACAGAACGTTGTTAGCTGGATTCAGTTCACTTAGTTCCCTCGCTAACGTTATCAGGTCTCCCTTTCCTGCTTGTCTCGTCCTGCCAGTGAGTCTGAATCTGTGTTTATGGTGCAGGAATACATTTAGACTTTATAGAATTGTGGATAAGTTTACATTTTATTCATGTAGACTGCTACTCATTTGGAGTCTTGCTTCTGGAGGTCATATTTGGCATTCAAGCAGCTGCTGCCTTTCAAGCATGTTGAGCTGATTTCTGACCTCAAGCTTTATGAGCTGGAGTGCTTGATAATAGGTTCCGACTTTGAAAACCTGTGGAAAAGGAATGCATGTGTCTTGGGTCTTGTATTAAAACTGAACTTAGGACCTGTTAGGCAGCGTGGCCTTGCAAGTGAAATTTATGAGCTAGCCTGTGGTCCTGCTGACATTTTGTACAAGTCATTTCCACTTTCTTGGTACATTAAACAATTCTGCTTTGCAGCCAGGAAGCTGATTTAGAGTATTGTCTAAGAAAGTGTGACAAACTCATCAAATCATTCTGTTTCTAATTTAAACTCTTGGGAGAACTTGTCAGCACTCTGTGTGAAATTCTACTTTTTTTTAATTAAACAGTTGTGGTTATCATGAGAACATGAGTTTATCCGCCAAATCTCTTCCCAGGGTTTCGTTCTAGTAAAATTTAATTCCATGGAGTTTTCAGAGGTAAAGTTCCAGAATAAAGTTCCTTTTTATTTGGAGGTGCTGTAGCCTGCCAAAGTGTCTGTTATTTGAGGCTTTTGCAGGGGGAGAAAAGCTGAGGTTGCATGGTGAAAGCAGTTAATTCAGCAAATTCAGCTTTCCAATTTCAAAGCTTTGCCTTACTTCACCATGCCCAAAGTCCTTGGTATGAGTGTAGACCATTATGTGGATGAGCTCTAGATGTGCATTTCCAGAGGGTGTCGGTCTGGATCGTTTCCAGTTCATCTGGAAGATAATTTCCCATCTGGGAGGATGTGAATATGGAGTTCAGCGGTACACAAGTGTTATTAAAATGGCCTTCAGCGCCTTTGTTTTACACTGAGTTGCTGAATATAACTGAATGAGCTGTGATAGCATTAAAATATCACCGCAGTGAGGGTCAGTGAAGCTGGTAGAAAGTCAGACTGCTTTTGAGTCAGCTTAGTGTTGTAGTTGTTAGGAGGAGTTTCTTTTTTTGGCCTCTCTTAATGTTTAGAGATTGCTAAGTGCTCTGATCCCAGACAGAGCAGCACATTGTAAATCAACAAAGACCTCTTTATGGACTGATTGATTCCTCTCCCAGGCTGCTGAAGGTCAAACCTGAGGAACGGCTGACCATTGAAGGTGTGCTGGACCATCCCTGGCTCAACTCCACCGAGGCACTCGATAACATCCTGCCCTCTGCCCAGCTGATGATGGACAAGGTCTAAACAACATTTTATTCTATCAAGAATGTTGCGTAGAGGAGTTGGGTGGCTCTTGGGTGGTTTGAGTGGTCTCTATCACGTGGTGTTATGCAGATGGAATGCTCCCCTTCTGCCTTAATGAGAGCCTGAGATCTTTGTAAGAAAATGGAAATGGTTCCATTTGAAATTTGGGCTAGGAGAAGATGCTGCAAGATTGACGGTAAAGAACAGCCATGTGCTAACAAGTAGAGAACAGAGTATGGCCGTAAGCATGCCTGAGGACTCTTCTGTAGGTCCTTCCTCTTATTTTTTTTTTCCCCCCATGTTTTATACCTGACTGCAGCTATGACCTCATGAATTAGCAGCAAATGAATTGCCCTTCTCGCTTCATTTAAACTCTGCTCAAAGAGGAGTTCAGTCAGCATTCTTGAGCTTGCGAACACGAGAAGTAGAGAAGATCCTTTGTCCTATTCAGCCCCTGTGAGGTCAGGATATATTGTCCCACAGTCAATGTCTGGCATAATGCAAGCCTGAATTTTGTTACGCATCTCTGAAATAAATAGGATTTTGGTGCCTTTTTTTTTTTTTTTGTCGATGGCTAATGTTATCCATATATTGTTCTTCAATACACAAAGCAGCTAGCTAAAACATCAAGTGCAACTCTCTTCATTCCAGGCAATGGTCGCAGGGATACAACAGGCTCATGCAGAACAGCTTGCGAACATGAGAATCCAAGACCTCAAAGTCAGTCTCAAACCCCTTCACTCCGTCAACAACCCAATCCTGCGCAAAAGGAAATTACTGGGGTAACTCTCTAAAGCTGTTTTTGAAAGGCCAAAATGGAGGCAGCCGTGATGCCAGGAGAATGAATTTAAGCATGTTATGGGTTCATTCAGTTGTAACCAAGCTCCTGGATTTCTGATTTGGTTAACATGCTCTTCGTGCTGAAGTGGGTAGTCGGAGTCAAGTAATGCTTGCGCAGTATGTTGTGTCTTCCAAGATACGCCAGTGAGGGCAGGGAGGAGATTGGGTAGTGTTATTATCTTGTACAGGGAGCAGAACTGATCCATTATGAGAACATGGCTCACACATTGAGCAAGGTAGGGCAAACTAGGAGAAAGAATTCCATTATTTTTTTCTGATCTTGATATTTATTTACTGAAAAAATCTCTTTGTTTGAGTTACCTATCTGAAAAATAGGATAATGCATCTTAGGATTACCCTTACTTGAATGAATTTAAAGGAATATTTATTTTTCTTCATATTTAAAGTGGTCTGATAATGCAGGACATTGTTACAATTAATGCTATATCTAGCTCCGAGTCTGAGCTTTCCAGAGAGTGAAAGAGAGCATTATACTGGTGCAGTTATGCAACGAGTAACGGACTTGAGTTGCATTCAAATTGTAATTGTTTCCTCCTTGTTCTTTTGCAGCACTAAGCCAAAGGATGGTGTTTATATCCATGACCCGGAGAATGGAAGTAACGATTCCAACGTGGCTCTGGAAAAGCTCAGAGATGTCATCGCTCAGTGCATTCTACCGCAGGCTGGTAAAGGTTGCCACTTTTAAGAAAATTACGTTCCTAAACGTGCAAGACGCTGACTTTTTACTGTGCCTCAAGATCAGTCTGTGTCAAGTAATGAGGGAGGATAAGGAAAACTCCTGTTGTCCTAGTCAGCCTCAAGAGGAAGGCGTTGTCTGTGGACTGTAATTTTGGTGCATGCCTAATATTAGTGCCAGCAGTGGCATGCGGAGCTGTTTAAAGTAACTTTCAAAGAGGAGCGTCTGCTTTCGGATGGATTTCCTAGTTTGCGTGAGGCGAGGAGGAATAACTGGCCATAGTGTTTACTGAAGCTCTGAATGTTGCTGCGGGGCAGAATGACAAACCTCCTGTTTATCTTTGTTCTAAACAGGAGAGAATGAAGATGAGAAGCTGAATGAAGTGATGCAGGAGGCGTGGAAGTATAATCGAGAGTGTAAGTTGCTGAGGGACACTCTTCAGAGCTTCAGCTGGAATGGTGAGGAACTCTTTCGTTTCCGTGGAGAGTGGTGCTAATGCTGGGTGAAAGCGGGGAAGCAGTGACCTTCTTATATGGAAATGGAGACAAAATTCTTGAATTTGTGGCAAACTGACTTAGGTTTTGACACTGGTTTAGCCCAGCTGCCCACATGGATGCTCTAGAAATTAGGTTGAAAATTCTGCTTTAAAATTTCTATTTGAGGTTCAGGGTAGAGTTTTCAAAGGCACCGAGTCATGAATAAACATAACAGCCCGGGTGGATCATTGCTTTAGAAACCGCTTTTGGTGTTTTTGCTGGTTTCCTTCTGGCTGTTTGTTACCCTCATTCTGCTGGAGGCTGCTGCCCTCATCTACGTCAGCGCAGCATCTCTTCTGCTGAGTTTGTATAGGAAACAGAATTCAGCTAGGGCAGCTGCCTTGGGAGTGTGCAGAGGGCTCCTTGACAAAACAGGGTGGCAGAGGTGTCAGCCCCCAGAGCAGATGCTGAGGGGACCAGGGGCATCAATCAGGTTGACAAGGGCTTGGCCTCTTCCCTTGTTCTGCTGGTTGGTTTTAATTTAAGTTTTTAAGCGCTCAATTTTTTTTTTAATGGAAGTAGAGACCATAACTCATTTTGGTTCCCTTATGAACGTTGTCCTGTGTTTGTGTGAAGCCTTGTTTTGTGTTCAGTCAGTGTATGGCTCCAGCTGGGATGGCTTTCCTCCTTGTGCCCTGCACCAGCTGACTACCTGTTCTTCTCTTTTCAGGCAGAGGATTCACGGATAAAGTGGATCGACTAAAACTGGCAGAAATAGTAAAACAAGTTATCGAAGAGCAGACAAACTCCCATGACTCTCAATAGCTGGAGCTTCTTAATCTTATTTTTTTTACCATTTAAGATTTATTCTTTAACTGTAAAAAGTATTTTTATGTAAATTAATAAATCATAATTATTTCATTAAATTTCCATACTGCTTGAAAATGCTGTATAGTTGTAGATACAAAAAAATCATTGGTACTGTAATATTTTTTTAAAACTCAGTTCCTTGAGGTATATATGATCACTTATGTACTGTTAATCATGAGTCCCCCCTGATGGGGCAAATTACATTGTTAAAGACCGTTCTTTTTCTTAATAACCAGTTGCAGAAGCTGCCTTCCATCTGCTATACGTACAGCCAGCTGCAATGACTATGTATGTGAACGAGACAGCCACAGTTTCTCAACACCCTGCTCAGTAAGTACTTGAAGCAAGTGCTGTGAAACACAAACTTCATAGCTACCCTTTGCGCCTAAATTCTGAGTCTTTATATAGAGGCAACTAAATAGCCTTCCGTTTCGCTAGATGACCCGAGCGCCACGCTTGGCCTTGCCAAGGGCACCTGAGTCCATATGCTTGCTGTGTTTTTCAGTTCTGATCAGTAGCTCTTTTTTTTTTTTTTTTTTTCTTATTCTTCTTCCCCATCTTCCTCTAGACCTTCTTTAAGGCTTAACGCTCTTTTTTTCTTCTTTTCCCCATCTTCCTCAGACCTTTTTTAAGGCTGAATTGGCCATTCAGCATAAGACTCCTCTTCTTATCATATTGTCCAACAGCAGAATTTAAGAATGTTCTAGTTACTTATGTACAAGTTATTTTTATTTTCACGGTGGGATCTTCTATGGGCAATGATAAGCGTGGGGCTCATTTGTTTCAGCCCCAGATCAGCAGTTGTGTGTGTTCCACCCACGTCCTCCATTCTTTCCTTTCTAGAAGATCCAACACTTGGTTTCGAACTTGTCCTCTTGTTTGAAAGAGATCATCCTGGCAAGGGTCATAGTGCTGCTGTGTGAATCCGCCGGTGATCCTTCTCTTGTGTCACCCTCCGGAGTCCAAGCTCCCCATCTCTTTGATGCCTTCGAGCTCCTCCTGGGGGAGCAACAGACACAGGGCTGCTCCTTGACACACTGATGCTGCCTGGACCATGAGGCTGCCCAGGGCAGATTCTTACACTAGTCTGGAACATTGGCTCCAAAAGCTGCTTTTTTAATCTTAATTAAACAAACGAATGAGAAGAATCTGTACATATTTCTAGTTTTCTACCTTCTGACGCTTTTCTTTCTTTTGAGACTGGTCGAAGGCTTTTTATAGAGATATTTTGGTACTAAACCCGTGCAGACGTTGAATGAGTTTGGTCTGCAGACTGAAGTGCCAATTCAGGGCTATTAGTAATGACTCTTGAACATTATTGTTGTATTTCATAGCTCATTAACTTTGGGTTTACATTTACAAACCTGAGCCATGAATCTCCCAATTTACTCTTACGGCAGTCCAGCCTTCTTCTTTTTTGTCTTTTTTCTATACCAGACTTCCTTGCAACCTTTTGCTTGGATGGCAAACCAGTGTCTGACTCTTTCTATACAATTTTGTAAGCAGTGACTTAGTTTTTCTACATGAAGGAGATGCTTCGTTTCCCATTCTTCGTCAGCACCTTGTCAGCTTTCTTTTAATCCTGTTGATAGTTTTCCAATGCCTGATTTGTTGCAGAGTAAGAACCACAGTCCCCAGTTAACCATCACTTTCTCTGATGGAAACAGGGAGTTTCTGCGTACAGCCAGAATTGTACCTCTGCCGCTACGTGGCACGTTTGTGCACTGACATCTATCGATGACAACGGTAGGGAATTAGCAAGAGACAAGAGTTATTTGTCGGTTCTTGGTAGTATCAGTGAGTTTGCAGGCCCTATATGCATTTCTGTCCTTGTCCTAAATTCGAGGTTATGTCAACATCCACGCAATCTCTAAATGTAACAGATAATTTCCTTTTTAACTGGAAAGACGTGCTTTTTTCTGAGAAACCTCATTGTATTGGAACTTGATGGCAAATAGAGAAATAAGCAAGGAAATCACCTTTATTGGAATGGGAGTGCAAAAAATTCCCCACAAAAGCACTTTGCAACTCCGCCCTCCAAGGAGGCAAATACTCGGGCGGTTTCTTGAGGGTCAGAACCTGTGAGCAGAAAAATGGATCTGGTTGTAACTACTCTCGCAGCCAAGGCACCGCGGTCAGCAGAGCCTACCGCCACGCCACAGCCCGATACGACCCAAGCGCCCTGTGCGCAGCTTGGGGGTGTAACACACTGGGACCTACTTTTTATCTCTGGCAGGTTGCTCTAGCGTTCGAGATGACGGTAGCAGGGCTCGTATGCCGCTGTGTAGCCGTCTGTAGGAGATGGCTTCAGCCCGTTTCTGCGGTACCAGCCCACGTTTGGTACAGCGGGGAGCACCTTGGGGTGCTGCTGCTCGCCGACATCCACGGCAGCTCAGAAGTAGGCAGAGACCTGACGGTGCGTTACGTCCCTTCGTGGTCCCTTAACTTACACAACCGAATAATTTCAAGCTGTCACTGATAGTGAGGTGGGTACAGCTGCGACTGACAGTGAGATGTTTTTAGCGTCTGGAGGGAAGTCAACTTTCTAAGGGCTTTTGTGAATAAGGAACTGCTTTTTATGGATTTAGTATGGATTTTATTGTCCGTATAAACAAGAGTGGCGTGATCCAAAACGGAGGGAGGGAGGGACAGATTAAGAACACACAAATTTGCAGATTCAAGGTCAAATGGTTTTATTTCTATGGGAAAGTTGATTATTTTACTCTTTAAAAAGTTACGTTTTAGATTTCAAAATTAAATACGCTTTAATGGATTCATTTACGTATTTTTAAAGTAGTATTTTACTTTTGCCTTCCTGTGTTTTTTATTTTTCCGTTGACATAAATGCAAGATACCTTGTCTTGGTTAGGTAAGGTTTTAGTTGGTAATAAATCTACTGAACCTTTATAGCAGACTGTGAATATTGTAAATACCTTGAGGTGGAAGGGTCATATGGGATCAAAGACGACATTCGTTGTACAAACACTAAGAGGATATGAGAAAGCTCTGTAGGGGGTTTGGTTTTTGGGTTTGTTTTTTTTTTTTTAGAATTTTATTTAAGAGAAAAATCTCTGAAATCATTTGACCTTTCCAAAATTTTGTGTATATCTGACTTCTCCTGTGACTTATTTTAAGATATATATATATATAAAAAAGTTAGAAGAACTTGACTAGGCAAAAGAGTTTTTGATTGGAAATAGCAATGTGTCAAAGTTTTGCTGTCATTACTTCAGGTTTTTCTGTTGGAAATCTGTCCTCATATGCCACGTTTAACTTCTGTGTATTAAAATGTTTTCATTTCTCCTTTTCAGTGTTATCTGTAATATGTTAGTTTATTTTGGATCAGTATTATATTGTAAATATTACGCATCGGTGTATATAAATGATTTTACTAAACTTAAAAGTTACTGGCTGCTTTTGTTTGGTTTCCAAGCTCCTCCCTGGAATACAGAGGGGAGGAAGGAGAGCCCTGGCCGGAGGGCACGGCACCGCAGACCTCTCCCCGTGCTCAGCCCTCCATCCCGCCTGCCTTGCAGAGGTGAAGAAGCGCTTTGCTTTGTGTTTTGCAGGAGTGCTGGGAGGGTTTGAGATGAACGAATGACTGTCGGGATAGGCTGGATAAAGCCCTAGAAAATGGGGTGCTCTGCCTGGCAACGTAACCTGAAATTGCCTCTTTCAGACACCCCGTTCCGTTAAGATGGCAGCAGTACGTGCCCAGTGCTCCGGCTTAACCCCGCCAAGGGCTATAGGATTTTTCTTGTAGCTACGACTTTGGGCTGTCAGGGAAGGCAGGGATGAGTTTATGGGTGCAAACTGAAACATAAGAGGTTTCAGTTGAATATGAGGAAAAACTTCTTTACTCTAAGGGTGACAGAGCACTGGAACAGGCTGCCCAGGGAGGTTGTGGAGTCTCCTTCTCTGGAGATATTCAAAGCCCACCTGGATGAAGTCCTGTGTAGAATGCTCTAGGAGAGCCTGCTTTAGCAGGGGGGGTTGGACTAGATGATCTCCCGAGGTCCCTTCCAACCCTTGCCATTCTGTGATTGTGTGAGTTGTTCCATGTTCGATGATGTTTCCCCCATCAGGTGTACCAGCTCCTCTGTTCTGCCAAGCGTGTTCTTTGGGGCAGGAACCAGTTTCTTTAGGATGAGGATCCTGGCAGGGCGCGGTGCTTTGCTGGGGGTGGCTGAAGCGGGGGCACTGCGGGGACTTGTGGCGGGGCTGGCACCTTGGGAGATACCGGTAGATGGGAAATGGGTTGGCTTTTGTTCAGGCCGGCAGCGTGCTTTGCCAGGGAGCACCGGAGTGCTTCTCGCCTCTTAGGCAGGGGGCCTCTCCCAACACAGACCAGTGCCGTCCAGTATGGCACTTGTACGCTTCCTGGCTCTGGAAATATTTTTATTATCCTCAAGCATGGTTTGACTGGCTTGTTGACAGCAACCAGATGGACTCTTGTCACATGAGCATTGCAGAACAGAAGTGGCATGCAAAGAGGTGGGGGGACAGCCTGTGTGCACCAGGCCACCCTCTGTGTAAGAGTTAACATCCATTAACTTTGGGGAGTTAATAGGGTGCTGGATAGTGGGTGACTGTCTGAGCATCCATAGCATTGGGAAGGGGAGCGAGAGAACAATTTCCAAGCATCTGGGGGAGTATTTTAAGGCAGCCAAACCAGCTGCAAGCGCTCTATGGAAGTGGCACAAGAAAAGACTCTCCCCTGGCTCGTAGAAGGACATGGGACCCCAAGAATGCCTCTCCCTTTCCAGCAAGAAAAATCCCCTTAAATTGTTAAAACAGCTGAGTGAGGAGCCCTGCAAGGGGATCTGTCAGCAGGCGCTGAAGGCTCTCACGGCTGCAGCTAAAGGTCCCATTAGCAACCACATCATTGTTTCCCTGGTAATCTTCTATTGCTTTCCACTTACCAAGGCTTAATCCCCTTTTAAACAAATTGCTGCGGCCACACTGGCTCGTCACGCTCTCGGCAAACGGGGTCAGCCCAAGTAGGGTGCTGCAGGCTTTTAATGATGAGATAGGGCAGATTTAATGCGATGCTGCTCCCGCCTGTGCCGGTGTCCCTGTGGAATGTTTGCGTTCAAAGCGGGGCCGGAGAAACGGTCACCCCTCGGACCCTTCCGTTCCAGCCCCAAGAGCAGCTCCCCCACGGCTTCCCACCCTGTGCCAGGGCTTCCCTGGTGCTGCTTTGCTCCGTTGGCTGGCAGGCTGGCTGGCCCCCCCTGTGTGCCCAACCTCCCTGGTGGTCAGGTAGCCGAGGAAGAGCTAAGAAACGGCACGTTGGGTGAAGGGAGCAGGAGGCTTGAGCCTGGCTGCAGGCTGAGCGCGGAGAAGAGGCCAGACCCTGAGGGACCGTGTCCTGGTGGTGAGAAGGGACCTTTGCTGCTGAGTTAAAGGCTGCTTTTCTGATGTCTCATCGTCCGCATTTTCCTCCGTCTCCTCCAGCCGGGGAGGCAGTGACCATGGCTCCAAGCTGCACGCAGCCAAGGTGCGACCCGAGGGGCAGAGGGGTTCTCCTCCTCGGACTGGGCCTCTCCTTCCTCCTCCGGGGGCTCCTGCTGCCCTGCGCAGACAGCAGCCCCCAGCCCTCTTGGGGCTACACAGCCTACGAGATAGTCATTCCAAGGAAACTCGGCCCCAAGGCAGGGAAGGCCAGCCAGGACGAAGTGTCCTATATCATCAGCATTCAGGGGGTAAATTACACGATTCACCTCAGGCAGAAAGACTTTGTACTAAAAAACTTCCCCGTATTCACTCGTGACTCCCGAGGGGAAGTCGTGGTCGAGCAGTCCCACGTGCCCGCAGGTTGCTATTACCATGGCTACGTGGAAGGCATCCCCGATTCCGCGGTGACGCTGACTACCTGCTCCGGGCTCAGAGGACTGCTGCAGGTTGGAAACTCAAGCTACAGCATCGAGCCCCTGGCAGCTTCCTCCATGGCTGAGCATCTTCTGTTGCAGAGGGAGGAGGCGGTTCCGGGAACAGTGATGTACAAAACGCCCGACGCAGACGGACCATTTCCAGCTCCTGGTACGGCAACAGGGCAGTTCCAGCCCCGGGGGCACACGCGGTATTTGGAGCTCCTTGTCATGGTGGACAAGGAAGGGTTTGACGCCTTTGGCAGAAGTATAACTAATGTGACACTGGAAGTCATTGAAATAATCAATCTGGTGGATGGGCTGTTTTATTCTTTCCGCCTTCGTGTTCTGATAACTGCGCTAGAGGTTTGGGTGGAGAAGAACCCTATCAGTGTTACCAAAAACATAACCAAGGTCCTCCACAGCTTTAACCTTTGGCAGAAGCAGCAAAGCCTTACCTATGCCGTGCATGACGTGGGGTGTCTGTTTGCCTCCATGGACTTTGATCACGATACGAGAGCGTCGCACGTGGGTGGCAAATCCAACTTCGCCAGCGCATGCGATAGAAAACGCGCCTCTGCTGTTGTAGCGTTTGCGAAACAGCCTTACATGGACACTGCAGTCCATGTCGCTCGCGTGTTGGGGTATGTCCTTGGCATGGAGCACGATGACAGATCCTGCAGATGTGGAAACACCTCCAAATGCATCATGAGCGCGCACGGCACAGTGAACTATCAGTTCAGCAACTGCAGCAAAAAGCACTATTTTGATTTTATTGCATCAGGGCAAGGATTCTGCCTTAATAACGCCCCAGAACCGGTCAGTGCATTTGCACTGCAGCGCTGCGGGAACGGCGTCCTGGAGGTTGGGGAGGAGTGCGACTGTGGCTCCGACACGCAGTGTAAATTGGACCTTTGTTGTGACAATACCTGTCAAAAAAAAGAAGGAGCCATTTGCACTTCTGGAGGCTGCTGTAAGAATTGCAAGCCTCTTCCAGAAGGAGAAGTGTGTAGGGAGAGTGCAGGTCCGTGTGACCTGCCCGAGTATTGCAACGGGACATCCGAGCATTGCCCAGCAGATGTGGCCAAGCAAGATGGGACTGTGTGTGCTGAGGACGGGTACTGTTACTCAGGCAAATGCCAATCTCACACGTTGCAGTGTATGAGACTCTTTGGCAAGGAAGCAAAACCTGCTCCACTACCATGTTTCCAGGAGGTGAACACGAAAGGGGATCGGTTTGGCAATTGCTGGGGAGACGGGGCAGACATCAGCTTTCAGAAATGTAAGCCAGAAAATGTCCTGTGTGGGAGGGTGCAGTGTACAAACGTTAGACGTCTACCTCGGCTGGCGGATCACACAACCGTCATTCAGACCCCGGTGGGCGATACCTGGTGTTGGGGCACAGACTACCACCTGGGCGTGGACGTTCTGGATGCTGGAGTCGTTAAGGATGGCACGCGGTGCGGTGAGAAGAAAATCTGCATTAATCGGACCTGTGTCCCTGAGGAGAAGTCCTTGGTATCCCGCTGTTCCGCCGAGAGAACGTGCAGAGGAAACGGCGTCTGCAACACCAGAGGGAACTGCCACTGTGCCGACGGCTGGGCGCCTCCCTACTGCCAGTTTTTTGGCTTTGGAGGAAGCGTTGATAGCGGGCCTGCACCGGTCACTAAAAAGGGGCTTTTTAGGTTCATCGTTGGGATTGCCATAATAACTGTTGCTCTTCTGGCACTCGCAGCACTCGTCATTGCGCACGTGAGAAAGCTCAGAGTAACCCAAGCATTGAACAGACTCGTTGGATGCCTTTGGGCAAGGCATTGGGCTCCCAAGGAGGATGCGAAGGACCAGGGGGTAGAAGGTGGCTCAAAACCAGCTGAGAATCAAAACTCCCCTGTGTAGGATGTGGTGCAGCAGCAGCGGAAAGCTGGACTCAGTCGGTCTCTAGATTCAAACTCCAGCTGTGGTGGACTCGTTTAAAATTCATCTAGATGCAAGGGTAGCGTTAGAGGACCTAGTTTTTATTCTGTAGATTAGCAAAATGAAATTGTTTCGCTTGACCTCACTCTGGAGGAGAAAAGAAAAGTCATTGACAAAAATGACAGGAGCACTCCAGTTAATTCAAAATCCGCCTGCTGGTTTACGCTGACAGACACAGACTGAGCAAGGAGGCTCCCGGGGCGGCCGAGGCAGAGCCTTTCGGGAGGCAACAGCAACGTCATCTCTCAGCCCAGAGCATGGGGGTCTGCAGCAGCGAGGACCCCTCTCCACTAAACACACAGTCCCCAAAGGACACCTGCAAAGAAACTTCTGGGTTCCTCTGCTACGGCTCAGAGGAAGGGGTTCAAACTGTCCGTATGGCTGTATAGGACTCTGTCTCCACACCCTACAACCACCTCCTCCAGAGCTGGGGTCCCAGGGGGTGCCCATCCTGGGCGTACCGAGCACCTCCTCTGCAGCACTGCAGCCCGGAAACGAACACAAGCTGCTGAAACCATCAGGTGGTGTTAAACGGGAGGCAAGAAGAGGGGAAAAAAGGGCTCCAAGGCTTAATTACAGGAGAAAAAGATGTGGAATGTATCTGAAAGGAAATAAAGACAAGGGGAGAAAAAAAAAAGTCATTGCTGCTCATGTCAGTGGGCTCTGTGGAAAGCACGAAGCCGGCAGGATCATTTGGACCGGAGCGTGCAGGCTTTGAGCAGTTAAAGAAACTGTTGGCAGCATCTGGTCCCTGCCAGGCTGAGCTGACAAAAAAGCCGGGCTGCTGCGGAGGTGTCAGTGCAAGCTGGGAGCAGCGTGGAAGCAGAACGGGGATGGTGCAAAAAAAAAAAAAATAATAATCCAAACCCAAAAAACCAAACCCCATTGCTTCAGCACATCCTGAAAAAGCAGATGGATGCTGGGGAGCAGGAGCGCTTCCTGCTGGAAAAGGGAATTTACCACCCGGAATGGGCTGCTGCTCACCTCCAGGTAGACCTGGTTAATGGTAAGTTGAGAGCTGCAGACTGTGCTGCCCGCCAGCGCTCACGCGTACGTACAAAATGTGGTTTTGTTTCCAACAAGCCGTGCCTGACACCCAGCAGGCACAGGCCGGGCGTGCGGGCGCAACCGGCGATCGATGAGTGCCCTGGGGTGGTGGTTACAGCAGGAGTCTCCATAGAGCCTCAGTAGTACAGGCATTAATTTATAGATAACTAAATATACATGTATTGGAGCTGCACGCTCCGAAAAATTTTACTGATGGGGTGTGTGACTAAGAAAAATGTCTGGAGCCCACTGGCTTACAGCCTGGCAAAGGAGGTGAGGTGGTGGCCAAGGGACATCAACATTCGCAGTGGTAATTTGCTGTGAGGAATGTTAGTGTGGTTAATTCTCAAATTTACGATCTTTGGGCAGGGGTTCCCCGCCCCGGAGGGTGGTGAGGACGCATCTCACCGAGCGGCTCTGAAGATCAGCCACAGCTCCCTGGCCATGACAGCCATTCCATGGTGCCCTGGTGAGGGAAGCATGGTGGGGATGGGGGCTCTTCAGCCCTGTCACCTCACGGGAGCACCCACGGCCCCCATGCCATGGCCTCGCTCCACCTCGGGCTCATGTTGCAGCCGGCTGGCAGCATGGCGGCTGGGAGAGACGGCAGCGCTTCCAGAACCTTCCCGGGGGGCACTGAGGGGAAGAGCCACCCCTCAGGGCAGCAGGATGGCACGCACCTTCCTCAGGTCCCGTGCCAGCCCTGAGGCAATAACTCTGGCACGGCCACTGCCTGAGCGCCTCCAGGGAGAGACGGCCAAGATGTCTGTGCAAGGGGCGGCAGGACCAGCCCTGAGGTGTCTTACCGCCATTTTGAAGGCGTTGGTGATGAGGTGGCTCCAGGCACATCATGGCGGACGGGGAAAAGCACTGCTCCTCAGGCTGGGGGTCTGGGCAGTGTTGGTGGTATATCTCCTCCCTGGGGCAGGCGGCCATAGTCCACCACCAGGCTATGCTGTCCATGAGATAGTCCGGCCGAGGAAACTGGCCCCCAGGGTGGGAAAAGCCGCAGGGGGAGAGGTGTCCTATGTCCTCAGGGTGGAGGGGGAGAACCGCATCGTTCACCTCACACAGAAAAGAAGACTTCTGGTGAAAAACCTGCCGGTCATCACGTACAGCCCCAGGGGGATGAGGGTGATGGAGCAGCCCCACGTCCCCGAGGAGTGCTTCTACCAGGGCTATGTGGAGGGCAGCCCTGGCTCCCTCGCCACGCTGAGCACCTGCTCGGGTCTAAGGGGGCAGCTGGAAATCGGGAACCGGAGCTATAGCATCGAACCTGTGCCGGGGTCCCTCACCTTCCAGCACCTTCTCTATCGGCGAGAGAAGACTCAGAACAAGCCCTTGAGGTGTGGATTGACGGATGAGGTGATCCAAAACGACCCGGGTGGGATGGGAGCTAAAACAGCCTTAGGAAGGCATGACTTGTCTCAGAGACTGAAGCACACCATGTATGTTGAGGTATTTGTTGTGGTGGACCGCTATCTCTTTTCCTTCCAAGGCAGCAATGAGACCTCCGTGATGTTTCTGGTTACAGATACGATCAATTTATCTGAAACATACTACTATCCGCTGAAGATCCGCATCTGCCTGATCGGGCTGGAGATCTGGACGCACAGCAACTTCATCAAGTACAGCCAGGATATAGAAGAAGTTCTTAAAAATTTTAACGACTGGGGAAATAGGAACCTTTCTCAGAGGATGAAATATGACATCGCACATTTGTTTACTTACATGGACTTCGGACTAATCGTTGGGCTGGCGTACGTAGGTAGCATCTGCCACCCCGGTTATCAATCAGGTGTTGTCTCACATATCCGGAGAGATTTCATAACCTTTTCAATTATTTTTACTCATGAGCTGGGTCACAACCTGGGGATGGAGCACGACAAAAAGGAGTGTGTGTGTGGAGAGGCCACCAAGTGCTACATGACCGGAGACTCGCTCGATGGCGCCAAGGCCTTCAGCAACTGCAGCCAGCAGAGCTACTTAGACCTGATCCACCGAGGCGATGGCGACTGCTTGCGCAACATCCCAGAGCCCCACAGACTCTTCCATTTTAAGCACTGTGGCAACAAGGTGATCGATGAAGGAGAGCAGTGTGACTGCGGGAGGCTGCAGGACTGCCGAGGCAATCCCTGCTGTCACCAAGACTGCAGGCTGAAGCCAGGGGCCGTCTGCTCCGTTGGGCAATGCTGTCAGAAATGCCGCTTTCGTGCTGCAGGACACAAGTGCAGGTCGGAGGCGGATGAGTGCGACTTGCCTGAATATTGCAACGGGACTTCTGCGTGGTGCCCAGAGGATTTGCACGTGCACGACGGGACACCATGCAGTGACGATGGCTACTGCTACCGCGGGAAATGTGCAACCTATGACAACCTGTGCCGAAAAGTCTTTGGGAAGGAAGCTCGGGGTGCTCCAGAAAGTTGCTTCAAAGAGCAGAACATAAAAGGGGATCGATTTGGCAACTGTGGCGGCGACGGGACCAAAGTTGCTTTTGTGGGATGTAAACCCCAAAATGCTCTGTGTGGAAGGCTGCAGTGTGCCAACGTGAAGAGGATACCAGTGCTGAAGGGGTCTGAAACCATCATTCAGATGCCAGGGCCTGATGACTGGTGCTGGGGCATAGCCTACCACGCCAGCATCGATACACCTGATATTGGAGGAGGGCTTGATGGCACCCGATGTGGGCCAAAAAAGATCTGTATTAACAGGACTTGCACAGATGCCACGGTCAGGACCAAGTGCAATGGGAAGGTTTTGTGTGGGGGGAAAGGGGTTTGCAACAACCTCGAACACTGCCACTGCCAAGCTGGCTGGGCTCCTCCGGACTGCCAGTTCCACGGCCTGGGAGGGAGCGTCGACAGCGGCCCTCCCCCGCCTCTCACGGTATCCATGGTGGAGGTTGTCCAAAATAAAGTGTTTGGTAAGGTAATTGGGATGACAGTTCTCATTGCCCTCCTGCTGATTGCTCTCCTCGCTGCTGTAACCAAATACAGAAAGGCAATAGCTGCGGTTTTCTGTATAAGTTTAGCCACAGAGAGAAGTGAGAGTCCTACAGATGAGGAGCAGGGTATGGAAGAAGAGGAGTATGTTTAAAAAAAAAACCATGAAAGCAGAGGGAAACCCACCAGCTGAGGTTGGGGAAGGACTGCAGGCCCTGTGGGTACACGCTTGAAGCTGGCCTGCTAGTCTCAGATTTTGGACAAGGTGATTCACACAATGTGATGGTGTAAACTCTACGAAAATTAACTACACAAAACTTGAGTATTCCCTCTTCTTGTATTACCTACTCTGTAAATAATTTTTGGTTGGACCCCAAAAGTGAAGCTGTTGGAAAATAAAGAGTGTAAAAGTTAGAGAGTTGTTTGCCACGCAGCTGAAGCCCAGTTTTCTTTTCCATAGAATGGTGGCACTTAGCAAATAATTCACTTGAGCATCCAGAAGACTATAGACAGATTCCTGCGAAGTCCTGCTCACCTAGCTCAGGAGAGATGATCCACCGGGTCACAGCACAGCAGCTCCTTTTTCTGAGTATTGTAGCTGAGCAGGAGTTGGCCCGAAGAACAGAAGGGCAAAAAGTCACGGCACAGAAGTGAACGCTCATTTTTTTTTTATGCTACTTGGTAATTTTTTGTTCCTTGCAGTTGGGTGTTAGTGGGCTACATGTTCCTATTTTTATAGTGAATTAAAAGTCGGAGATTGAAAAATATTTACATTTGCTTTACTGTTAATTTGTAATGGCAAATACTTAGAGAAGTAAAATATCCTTTGACCACCTATCCTCAAAGGAGCTGCACCAGATCTCTGAGCTGTTACATGTAATTCGCTGCATTTCTAGAGATATTTCCATCAGGAGAAAGTCTGTACCAGAGATTTACCACGTTTAAAGGATCCATTTACAATCCATACAAACCTGTAAAATAAATAACTATCTTCACTGAAAGTCTCAGTCTCTGACAGCTCTGCTCAGGCTCCTCCGGCACTACAGCTAACTTCGCTGCTGGCAAGAGAGTTCGCAGCAGACAGCCCCATACCAGGTCTGGCTGACATTGCTAAAACATGACGAGGTCTCGTTAGGATGCTGCTCGTTCTCCTTCGACGCAGGGATTCATCAGAGCAGGGTGGACGTGGAGCCCTCTACGTCCGGCGGGCCGGTGGGGAGTGTGCTGGCGTAGAACTTCTTCTGGGAGCGCAAGAGAGGAGTCTGAGTGTCAACGTCCCGGCAGGCGTTGCGTTTGAGGGAGAGGAAGACGTGCTGTGTCCAGCCGTACACGATGCAGTTCAGAAGCCCCTGGGAAGCTGCTGTCAGAGCCTGGGACAGACCACGGGGGAGATGAGGGCTCTCGTGTCGGCCAGCACTGCACAGCACCCCGCAGCTCTCTACCAGCCGGTCAAACCCGGCACGTTACGCCCAGCCTCCCACCTCCAGCATGGTTTTATCCATCTGCATCCCCAGGCGATAGAGGAATCTCATAGTTATTTTAATAATCTTTGCTAAATGCTGCCTCAGGCACATCAAGCAGCTGGACAAGTGTCATGGAGGAATTGAATTTGGACTTTCACAGAAAGGGAGCAAACTATCGACTTTCTGGGGATCCCTTCTAGTCCTATTTTCAATAATTTCCACGGTGCTGTAATTTTGGTTACTGAGACCTTTTCAAGCCTGGGAAAAACATAAACCAACTAACAAAGATCTTTGCCAACCAAAAGCATAAATGAGCCAGATTTAGGATCTTTGTGGCTAAAAACATGCTTTGTCTAGCAGAGATTAGAAACAGGCAAACGCTCATTTTTCTGTTCAAGCAGAGAAGGCAAAAACGTAGGAGGTTGCAGAGGGAGCCATTTACCTGTAGAATGAGAAGAGCCATGTAGATTTTGCTGTTTGTGGACACTGTCAGCTTCAGTATCCCAAGGAGGACAGCTGTGGAAAGGGATGGAGAAGAGGGTATTGCTTTAACCCCACCTCTTCAGAGTTTCATTGCCAGGCACTAGGTCCTAGGAGAACGTTGTGAAAATAACTCAGCTCTCTGCTAACCTGGGGCCCAGCAGCAGAAGAATGCGATGGGGTAAAAAATCACACGTTGTTCTACCATCTTGATCATGGCCCACTGCTGATCCCCCAGGAATCCTGTGGAGTTTACAAACCTTTTGTACAAACCTCGGGCTTGACTGAGTATAACCTAAAAAAGAACAAGCATACATCATCGTTTGTTCTTTGTGCACGTGCTCTGGTCTGGCTCGTTCATCTAGGACAGAGTATCCCGTTTCAATCTATCAAACCTTTTCAGGCCACGGCGTACTCCCAGGGGGAGAGCGGTGCCTTTGTACGTGACCTCTTCTGAACTGAAGACTCTGAATTGATTTGGGCTCTTGTTGACCCATGCAGTGGGTGATCTCTGCTGCCACCGTCTCAGCCTTCTCTGCCTGCTAAATCCTTTTTGGGATGGGCTGCCAGAACGCAGGTGGATTTATATGGTGGCACAATAATATTTTCTCTCCCCTACCACCCCTTCCAAAAGGGAAGCAGCACCACACGGTTCTTCCCCTGACATTGCCTGGCCCCTGACATTGCCTGCCTGGTACCATCCAAGCAAAGATGCAAAGATGAAAAAGGGAAAAATCTTCTCACACTGATCATCCAGGTGCAACGGCTAGCGTGCAAGGACTACGCTTCTTACCAGAATGGCTATGAAGCTGATCAGGAAGGAAATGAGGAAGACCCCAATGCCATAGAAATGCATCGCACGGCAAACAGAGCCACTCAGGGTTTGCGGCTCGGTGGCGGGCATGGCTATTTCCGTGTGCATCAGGAGACATCTGTGGGGAGAAAGGGAAGGGCCTGAGCCCCTGCCATGACGTGTAAGCAGCGGGGCGGTTTCAGAGAGACGCGTGAAGCTTACCCATGCTTCTGGCTGAAGTTCTGGTAGCAACTACTGCTGTTGCCCAGGCAAAACACAGGCACCATGAGAAGGAAAGGGATCAGGCTAAGAGGAGAAAAGACAACGGCACCATTAGTTATTGCACTGCACTGCTCCTATCCCCAACCAAACACTACTTGTTTTTTCTCCTGTCACTACAGAGGACTTAAAAATTGGTTTTATTGACACTGCTCTGGAAGAGTATTTTACCAGCTTTACTAACTTCTGCACTTCCATTCACGCAGGCAAGACATTGGCAAAGGGAACGCTTTCTGGAAAACTACACATAGTTAACAGAGTTAGAGCTAACTTGGTTGGAGAAAGGCCCTTCCATCCAGAGCCTCTGGCTCCGAGTTTGCTCGGTCACTCTGCTGCTCCCGAAGAGCTACCTGGCAAACACAGCGGTTCGGAAAATTGGCTTCAGAGTAAGTGGGAAGCAGAGATCAGCACGCTACAGTTTACCAAACCCGCCTAATTCTGCCAGAGAGAATGAAATCCTACCTGGATGAGATCGTAGCTATTCGGCCGATGCAACTTGCGTAATCTACAACCTGCAAAGTCCAAAAAGCTTAATGAAACGATCGTTTCTGTACAGCCACTGGTTCACAGGAACCCGCTCCCAGGGAGCACTTCAGCAGCTGAGGGTTCTTCAAATGCTGACTAATCCCCAGACCCAGCACAAATGTTTGTTGCCACTTTGCACTGAATCAACACCGCAGAGTTCAGTCTGTGCTGATTTGCAGCAGAAACAACCCATGCTTCCACCTGCTAACTGGCCTGTTCTCCTTCCAGACTAGAGGATTTGAGAAGGGAACTTGGAGCGGGACAAGGAGCAGACACTCGATGAGCTCTCTTGGTGTAACCTGCTCATTTTTTTGTACTGTTCATTCACTTAACCTGACCCTGTTCCTCAGAAACTTTGTGTTCTGATGAAGAAACGCAGGCAATTTGGAGTGTCCTGATCTCTGCTCGCCCGAAAATGTGCTTTGGCAGCTGGCACCCACACACCAGCTACAACACTGCGACATGGGCGCAGTGGGGAGCTTAGGGTAGGTGCTGTGCTTTGAATGGGGTCCAGCAAGGAGGAACCCAGTCCTACAGCTGGATCCAAACCCTGTGGACAAAAGCAATTTAAATAGAGACTGATCTGCCCAGCCTGCTGCTCCCAAACCGACACATGGAATATCTGGGACACAAAGTTTGCCGTGCACAGTAAATGTCCGGGGAAGAAAAAGGAAACGGGGCTGATGGGTTCTGTGGGAAGAGCTGGAATGTGTCGTCTTGCAGTGATACATCAGGAGCAACAGAGCGGTTACAGCGGTGATGGTGCCTCGCTGTTTAGCCAGGTGTGAGGAATGAAACAACGGCAAGGAGAGATTTTGGTCACGCGGTGTGTGAAGTGTTTGTTCAGCCTGCAACGCAGAGAGTATTTTTCTGAGTACTATGTCCTTATTCCTGGGTTCCCAGCGATTACACCGGTTCCCCAAAGGGCTTTTGTAAAGGCCAGCGATGATGAAGCAAGGACTGGCCACTGTTGACAGAACCAACTGGTCCTTTAATCACTATCTTGCTTCCGTCACACATCCTAGCTTAAATTCTTACTGACGCTCTCGAACACTGTACGACACGTGGGAAGGACAGAAATTGTCAGTTCTCAGTTCCAGGCTGTCCAGGCACTCCCTGCTTTCCTGTCCCCTCTGGCATGCACTGGCAGAAGGCAGTGACAGCCGCAAACCAGTTACCCGGCTGGTGCAAACTGCTGTTCTTCCAACTGCAGAACTTCACCGATACCCAGTCCTGAGCTTTCCCTGCTCCGAGATGTACACTGCGCCCTTGGCCTCTGCCTGCTTTGGCCTGGCAAGCCTAATCTTTCACTGCGATCCTACAGCAGACCTGGCCATAATTCTGCTGACCTCAGCGGGTCAATGCCAATTCACACAGCCATGGAGCAGAAGGGCCTTCAAAGTTCTTGTGGTGAGATAAGCTGTTACGTGTGCACCTCCTAAACCCCACGGTGACACCTCGGTACCCAACAGTTGTTGCACGTCAGTCCTACTCACCTGGGGGGGCACCCTGTGAAGGTTCTGGCTGTATTTCATCTTTAGGTCCATGTAGAGATGCCAGGTGTAGTTGACAGTGTATAGAAAAGAGGCCACGTAGAATATCTGAGAAATACAAACAGTATTTCAGTCCTATAATAACAGTTTCTGTAGCACTTCTAGTTCTTCGCTGATGAACCCAAAGCCCATGGGCCAGAGGCAGGATGCTAAACAGCGCCGTGGGCTGCCAAAGGCGAGGGTCCCTGCACAGCCCCTGTGCTCGTGTCTACGGGGTTGCAGTG